GAGTACATCATCTCTCAATAGATGATATATCATCTCATCATAAGTATTAAGTGGTTTAATCTCAATACTTTCATTAGAGTGTTCATAAAGACTGGTCTTTTCATTAATATTACACTGTCATAGGTGAGTACATTTTGGTAAATTTACTTAGGCTCATTTGAGATTGCTCTTGTATTTTACATTAGCCTAAAATCATGTTATCACCACATTCATTAACATTAACACATTTTCTCCTTATAATTACTAACCCCTTTTTACGTGAATGTTTATTGCATCATATGCCAATGCACATGTCCATTTCTCTTGGAGAAAGGATTCCAATAGATAAAACCCATAGCTTTTCTACATTAAAATATTTAATTTCTGCTCGAAAACTTCACCCAAAAACACGTCTAAACCTCCTCAATATCTGATTTTTGTTTTATTTAAATCATATAATGAATGATAATTATTAAGTAATTACATTACTTCAATAGCTTAAATAAAAAATCACTTTAATTCATTGCTTCCACCTAGGTTCGAACCCGTGTTGATCAAGACTTCACTTCAAGAGCCAAATTTCGTCCCTCTCCCCCCAAAATACCCCTCCACCTTATTAATATAATAATTAATTGTATATTTATTGTAATTATGATACTACCCTTAGCTTGGAAAAAGACCTTTTTACCCCTAGACCCTCCAAACCTAAGATTTTCCCTTTTTAAGTCCGATAAAGACTCCTTCAAGTAAATCATGATATTCAAGAGCCCTTCATGGTTTGACCCAACCTTTCAAATATAAAAAAATCCCCAACTTAGTTGGCTTTGCTGTAGAAAGGTTTTCGAGGTCTGATTCTATGCGCATTAATACGTGTGAACCCTAGTCTAATCATAGGCATTGTTGACACATTATGCATTTCTTATCTTATCCATTTTTAGGGTTGTTACAGATTTGGGGTATGGTAGAAAAAGTGAGTTCTTCATCAAATTGTGGATACACATTAAGCTATGGGTTCTATTCACCTTTGAGATTCTTTCATCAAAGGGTTTCTTCAAAATAGATTTCAAAAAGTTGAGTTTTCTTATGGGTTTCATTAAATTACGAAATTGAAGTCATGGATTGAGTTATTAATGAATTCTTACGGTTACTTTAAGTGGATTAAAATGTAATTCCACTTGTTTATAGTAATTGTTGATGGTTTGGTCTAAATTAAAAAAATATGATCCTCTATCCATAACCCTAGGTAGGATTCTTGACCTGTATTGTATTGTGATAATTCAATTGAGTTTGTTGTTGATTTGATTACTATCCTATGGTGCTATTATTATTTATTAAGATGAATTATAGGAATATAATACTAGTTCTTTAGATGTGATTTAGGTTATGAATTATAATGTGAAATTAGCCTATGTACCTTGTATGTTTTGTGTTTTATTTGCCCTGATTTCTTACCATGAATTGGTTTTCCTTTTAGGAAAAGGTTTTGAATTGACTAATCCTTTTTGTGGTAGGAAAAGGTTTAGGACTCTATAAAAAGAGGAATGTTCCTTCTAACTTAATCAGCATTCACAATGTAGTCTTAAGGCTTTGAGAGTTTTGGTTAGGGGGTGAATTTATGGGTCACAAGCTTGATACGTTATCACTTGTGTGAACTCCCATGTATTCCGAGTGAGTTGGTTGAGGTTGTTTCTCTCTGTATTTTGTACTCTCATATTTTTAGTGGATTGCTCATCTCCTTTGTGGACGTAGGTCGATTGACCAAACCACGTTAAATCTTTGTGTCTTTTGGTATACTTCTCGTTGTCTTCTTACTCGTGGTTTTTTGAGGTTTGCATTGCTAGCTTCCCCGTTTACACCTGCTTATTTTTCGGTCCTAACAAGTGGTATCAGAGCCAGATTCAATGATGGAGTCAGGATCAGTGGTTCGATAATCGATGATTGAGCCAGGTTAGAAAGAGGTGTTAATATTGATGGGTGTAGTTGTAGTCGCAACCTTTTTGACAGTAATGAAGAATTTGTTGGAGAAATAGTTTCAGAGAGGTTCTCTGTGTTGAGACATAAATTTTGCAAAGAAGATTATGGAGAGGAGAAGCAAGTTGTTGAAGATTAAGGGAAGAAGGTGGACAAATATATATTGTCAGAAATTCAGGTCAAGGGGCAGATTTGTTGGGTTTTATTTGCCCTGATTTCTTACCATAAATAGGTTTTCCTTTTAGGAAAATATTTTGAATTGACTAATCTTTTTTTAAGTAGGAAAAGGTTTAGGACTCTATAAATAGAGGAATGTTCCTTCTAACATAATCAGCATTCATAATGTAGTCTTAGGGCTTTGAGAGTTTTGGTTAGAGGGAGAATTTATGGGTCACAATCTTCATACGTTATCACTTTTGTGAACCTCGCATGTATTCCGAGTGAATTGGTTGAGGTTGTTTCTCTCTGTATTTTGTACTCTCATATTTATAGTGGATTTCTCATCTCCTTTGTGGACGTAGGTTGATTGATCGAACCACGTTAAATCTTTGTGTCTTTTGATATATTTCTCGTGGTCTTCTTACTCGTGGTCTTTTGAAGTTTGCATTGGTAGCTTCCGCGTTTACACCTGCTTATTTTTCGGTCCTAACAGTCTGATGTTGTGATCTAAACATGAATTGTGTTATAAAGATGCAATTGGCCTTGTTATGCTATTGGTTATCATTGTAAGTTGATGGTACTTCACAATTTGGGTTGAGTTATGGGTTTATGGTAAGACCTTGATGATCGACTATGAGGAAGACTTGGTAAGTCTTAGAATCTCTATCTTTACTTCTAATTGTGATTAATTGTTGTTAAGTCAGGATAATACATTTGAGTGTAACTTATACTATGGTTATAGGGTGGTACGATTTTGAATTGAAACATCTTGACTATGTTGTGAGGTTTATTAAGGTGTTTGTGATATAAGGATGGTGAAAACTATAAATGTGCTTTAATATGTTATGAAATGCTAATGTGTTAACCTCAGTTATATAAATTGTGATGAAAGCATTTATATCATACAATTCTTATTGAGTTATTGATGATGATGGTTATACAAGGGGTAGACCCTATGTCCTAAATTAAGTTATGAAAGATAATTAAAGTATTAGAGACATTTCAAAAAGGGACTCTAGTTTAACACCATGTGAACTAGATAGAGGAGTGTCCCTTCCTACATAGGGAAGGTAGGAACACTACATTACTCGCGAGATTGGAGAGTATAATTCATGGCACATAAAGAGGGTCCCAACTAAATGTCCTAGTTCTTGAACTATGTTGCCCCTATAGGAATACTAGTTAGTTGAACCATGTAGTTGCTATGTTTTTTTGGTACTATCTTAGCATGTAGTTCGCCTTCTTTTGGTGTAGGGATTTATAACATCGGATTTCACACTAGCTCATGTGGTCTATGTCGATTAGGGCAAGATGTTCCTAAAAGGTAAAACGAATCAAAGGACATGAACTCTAACTTGGATAACCTAAGGGGTCCATCTTGGTATAGGTAGGGGTATGGGACTCTACCTAGACATTGCACTAGTTAGCCTTAAGGGGAGTCTTAGGATGAGATTGTATGTTTATTTTATGATAATATATGATGTATATATGACCATGGCACATAGTTGATGCTATATATTGGTTAGTTAATTTATGAATATGCATTGGGTTATAATGATAATGAAATGCAAGCCAAAACACTATGATATGTAAAGTTGGATATTGGTCATGTTTTTTTCTTGACGATACTTGATTGAGTAATGTTTTGGGCCTTTTCTTGGTCATTGCACTTGGTGACTTGATAAGGACTTGTGAGTAGTTGTCTTGCTTATATGATATGTTTAACCCTTATTCATTCTTGTGATATTATTCCTTGATTTTAGGGTTGTAGTAAATCATGGTTTCATGTGTGTTGGGATAAGTATTACTTGTTGAGATAGTAAGAATGTTTGACTTTGCATTAACACCCTAAAGGGGTAGAATGTCATGCTTTGATAAAAATTCCCTTGGAGCATGTTTTACTTGCGTATGTGCATAAGATCTAATACTTAGTACATGTGGAGTACTAATCTCATTATTCTACACTTGTCCCAATTATTTTAGGTTCCGGTGGTTTAAGTGTTTGGAGGACGTTATTATTTAAGGCGTGGGTTCTTCCCTTCATCCAAGTGGAGTAGGTCCTGAACTTTCGAGGGCAATGCCATCTTCTAGCTTTGGATTTTTTTATGAGTTTATTGAATCTATCATTTCTTTCCTTGTTATTTGAATATTATACTTTTGTATGACCTATACACGGCCTTATTAAATTGATGCAAGGGGTATTCCCATAGTGTGATATCTATTTAAGTGGTAAGAGACGATACAATCGTTGAGACTATTTCTATATATTTTTATATTTCTTTTCAATAAAAGTAGAAGGCTATGTAACCTTCCTATATGGGTATATGTATACTCAATATTAATATATATTATGTGTATGTAGAGGTCTATGTAAACCTCCACGTAGAGATAGTAAAAGTTTTAAATCTTTCCACATTTTTAACCTATGAATGTAATAACATGAAACTAAGAGGATAGTCTTAGTCCTTTAAAAAGAACAACAAGGCCGATTACGTCTAGTGAGTAAACCAGGATGTGACAAACTTTATATTAAAGCATGAGGTTAAATACCATTGAGTTATTTCTCTCTCTATAACACGTCTATGTAGGTTTGTATTCATAATTATGAAGCGCGCCACACTTATAAGTAGGAACCTATATGAAGCTTACTAATCACTCTCGTTCCTGGAAATTTTATATCATGCAAATAGAGCATACTTATTGTGTGCCTTGCATCTAATCCTATTGTTGTGCTTATAGGAAGCATGAAGACTTGAAAAATGCGGCTCGAAGACTTGATTAGGAAGTTGCTAATGTGGGAGCTCCTCCCATGATGAGCAAGTTCCTCCACTTGAGGAAAATACTAATGTTTATCAAGCCCCGTGCAACCCTCCACCTATGGGGAGTCGGAGATGAGGTCTATTATTGCTCAAATGGCCCAAGCCATGATTACTCAAGCACAAGCTTCAACGGTTCATGCCCATGCTTTGACAGCTCAACCCAATCCGGATGTTTCTGTCCGTCCTAATCAACAAGTCACTACTATGGCTTCCTGTCTTAGGGACTTCACTCGGATGATCCCTCCTAATTTCTATGGGTCTAAAGTTGATAAAGACCCTCAAGAATTTCATTATGAGGTCTACAAGGTGCCATATGCTATGGAGGTGACTTTAAGTGAGATGGATGAGTTGGACTCATATAAACTCAAGGATGTGGCTCAAACATGGTATGGGCAATGGAGGCATAATAGGTCGTTGAGGGGGGGTCCTTTGACATGGGAGATCTTTAAGGCGGCTTTTACAGATCGGTTCTTCCCTAGAGAGATCAGGGAGGAGAAAGTGGTAGAGTTTATCAATCTTCTCCAAGGAGGGAAGAGTGTTCATGAGTACTCTTCAGAACTCGTTAAGTTTTCAAGATATGCTAGTTCTTTAGTCTACGATCCTAGAGACCAACTAATCAGTTTTGTGATGGGGGGTGTTGTAGCACATACAATAGGAGTGCCAATCGTCCATGCTACATGAGAACATGAACATTTCCCCTCTTATGGTATAGGGAAAAAGAATAGAGGAGGCAAGAGCTATTCGAAAAAGAAGAGATGCTAAGAGGGCTAGCTCAATTGATGGAGGCTCCTCAATGAATAGGCTTGAGATAAAAGATAAGCCTAAATTTAAGAAGTGGGGTTCAAATCAAGTCCCTTTCAAATTCCCTACAGCTAGTGGTGATAGAGTGTCTAACCCTACATTAAATAAAGGAGGTACTAATTCAACACACAAGAAGCCAACTTGTGGAAAGTGTGGTAAAAAACACTATGGTGAGTGCCTTAAGTGGACGGATAATTTCTTTAGTTGTGGAAAGAGTAGTCACAAAATGAGAGACTTTCCAAACTTGAAGAGTCAAGACAAGAGTAGTGGCCAAGCTCATCCAAGTGGTTCTGGTGATGCTCCAAAAAAGAACCGCTTCTATGCTCTCTCCTCTAGGGGTGAGCAAGAGACCTCTCCCAATGTGGTGTCTTGTATGTTAAACATCGTTACTCTTGATGTGTATGATTTACTTGATCCGGGTGCTAATTTGTCCTTTGTTACACCTCTAGTAGCTAAAAAGTTTTATGCTTTACCCGATATTTTGCTTGATCCTTTTCTAGTGTCTACTCCGGTAGGAGAGTCAGTCGTTCCTAAATCAGTCTATTGAAATTTTACCATTTCGTTGCCCAATAGAGTTTCTTGTGTTGATCTAGTAGAATTGATATGCTTGATTTTTATATTATATTGGGTATGGATTGGTTGCATGAATTTTTTGCATCCATTGATTAAAGAACAAGAATGGGGAGGTTTAACTTCCCAAATGAACCCATTGTTGAGTGGAAGGGGGAAATTCTATTCCTAGAGTTCGCATCATATGTTGTCAAAATCATGTAAAATTATCTCAAAGAGTGTCTCTATCACATAGTAAGAGTCCAACATTTGGATTCCAAATTTTCTCCTATTGAGTCGGTCCCTGTAGTGAATGAATTTTTGGACATTTTTCGTAATGACCTTCCTGGCTTTCCTCCCGAAGGGGGAATTGATTTTGGTATCGATTTGCTACAGGAAACAAATCCCATTTCAATCCCTCCATATCGAATTTCTTTGGAAAAATTTGAAGAGTTCAAGACTCAACTCAAGTATTTGCTTCACAATATGCCCATACCTAGTCCAAAAGGCCGTCATCAGTATATCCTCCCCTCTCATCGTGAGTTGATGATACCCCGACCTCAAGTCTATCTTTGAGAACTAACTTGCCCCTTGGAGTTGGTCAAATAAGTCATCAATACGAGGGAGAGGGTACTTATTATTAATAGTGACCTTGTTGAGTTGGTGGTAATCAATACACAATCTCAAAAAACCCTCCTTCTTTTTGACAAATAACACCAGAGCACCCCATTGACATATACTAGGCCTTATAAAGACTTTGTCAAGCAAATTCCTAAAAAACATCAATTTTATGCCAAATATAGTAAGTGTGAGTTTTGGTTGAGATAAGTCACTTTTCTTGGGCACATCATTTCTAGTGAGGGAGTTGATGTAGACCTAAGGAAAACGGAAGCGGAGAAAAATTGGACTAGACCATTGAGTCCGACTGACATTAGGAGTTTCTTATGTTTAACGGCTCACTATCAGAGGTTTGTTGATGGTTTCACGTCCATTGCATCTCCTTTGACTACTTTGACCCTTAAGAGTGAAAACTTATATTGGTCAGAGGTATGTGAGAAGAGCTATCGATTGTTGAAATATAGGCTCACTTCAGCTCCGGTGTTGACCTTACCGGAGTGTACAAAGGGTTTGGTGGTGTATTGCGATGTATTCCAAGTGGGTTTGAGGTATGTGCTTATGCAAAACAAGAAGGTGATAGCTTATTCTTCTAGGCAACTAAAGGTAAATGAGAGAAATTACCCCACTCATGACCTTCAATTAGCGGCCGTGGTGTTGGATTAAAAAATTTGGAGGCATTACTTATATGGGGTTCATGTGGATGTTTTTACCGATCATAAGAGTCTCCATTATGTGTTTACCCAAAAAAAAGTTACATATCCGACAAATACGGTGGATTGAGTTTTTGAAAGATTATGATATGAGTGTCCTTTATCACCACGACAAGGCTAGTGTAGTGGCGGATGCCCTAAGTAGGATGACTGTAGATAGTGCATCCCATCTTTATGAAGCCAAAAAGGTCCTAGCAAGGGAATTGCATAGGATGGCTAGGTTGGGCGTGAGGTTGGAGATTTTTATGGATGGTGGTGCCATAGTTCATAATAACTGTGAGTCATCTTTAGTGGTTGAGGTAAAGTCCAAATAACACCTTTATTTAGCCTTTATGGAGTTGAAAGAATCGGTTCTTGGCAAGTTGAATGAATCATTCTCCTAATGGGGGGATGGTGTACTAAAGTACCAATGGAGACTTTGTGTTCCCGATGTATATGGGTTGAGGGATAGGATCTTAGAAGAAGCACATAGGTCCCACTACTCAATTCATCCAGGGTTGACAAAAATGTACCATGACCTAAGGGAAATTTATTGGTGGAAAGGTCAATAGAGGGACATAGCATAATTTGTTGCTAAGTGTCCGAATTGCCAACAAGTAAAGGCCGAACACATAAAGCCGAGTGTCTTACTACACGATATTAAAATTCAAACTTCAAAGTGGGAAGATATCAATATGGGCTTTGTAGTGGGAAGATATCATAGTCTGTAGAGGATTATGCAAGAATCTTCCTAGATGAGATTATGTGCCTCCATGGCATTACATTATCCATCATATTGGATAGTCACACAATTCACATCTATATTTTGGAGGTTTTTCCAAAAACGGTTAGGTACTACAATGAAGTTGAGCACCACTTTTCATCCCAAGACGGATGGCAAAAAGGACAGAACGATACAAACCCTTGAAGATTTTCTTAGATCATGCATTATTGATTTTAAATAGAGTTGGGATAGGCATTTACCTTTAGTGGATTTTCCTACCACAATATTTTTCATTCATCCATTTCCATGACTCCCTACGAAGCCTTGTATGGTAGAAGGTGTAGGTTTCCTATTGGATGGTTCGAAGTGGGTGAGCCATCGCTTCTTGATCCTGAGTTGATTTATAAGACTTTGGAAAAGGTTCATATCATACGGAACCAGTTGCAAACAGCCTACAGTCGGCAAAAGTCTTATGCCGATAATATGAGAAGGGATTTGGATTTTGAAGAAGGTGATGCGATGTATTTGAAAATTTCACCAATGAAAGGGGTTGTTAGGTCTGGCAAGAAAGTGAAATTTAGTCCTTGTTATGTGGGTCCGTATGAAATCTTTCGAAGGGTTGGTAAGGTTGCCTATGAATTGAAACTTCCTAGCGAATTGGCTTCGGTTCATCACGTTTTGCATTTTTTAATGTTGAAAAAGTTATCAGTGATCCCGAGGCGATTCTTCCTATAGAGGGTCTTGGTGTGAAGTATAACCTCTCTTATGAGGAATTTTCGATTAAAATTATTCATAGACATGTAAAAAAGTGGAGGAATAAAGAGGCGATTTCCGCAAAGGTGTTATGAAAGAAATCATGTAGTTGAGGGTGCAACATTGGAGGCCTAGGCCGACATGAAGCCGCGTTACCCTAATATTTTTTAGAATTAAGGTTAGTGAATATTTTTAAAATATAAATATGATTAGAAATTGAAGTTTCTTTATTTTTGGGTGATGTCTTAATAAATGGCATTTTTGGAAACCTCACAGTAAGTTTTACAGTGAAGTCATAGTAGGATTGCTATTAAAAACATCAAATTTTGATTTTTGCTTGCTTTGGGTTATGTTGTGCATTTTGACATAGTGAGTCTTCATAAAATTATAGGTAACATGTTATTAAGTTAAACTTTGTGCTAATTGACTCATCTGATGTATGTTGAGCTCTTAAGTATTATGAGTAGGAAATGCCTCATGATGAAGTATTTTGACGTTTAGGTGTGGTAATATGAAGTTTGATATTTGTCGTGTTGAAGTGAAATGATTTATGTTTAACGGATATTGTTGATTAGTTGCGCTACTAGTCTTGGGTCAATTCCTTCCTTCAAATGAATTTGTGTCATTCTGCGATTAATGTTCCTAAGGGGGGGGGGGATAATGTTACATCCTAAAAGTCAAAGATTCATTGTAAGGCCTAACATAGGGGTCATAAAGTCTTAACACTATTTCTACATACATTTTTAATGAGAGGTTTAAGAACCAAAACGTCAAAAAATGTTCGGGAAGTTGGTTCAAAGGGATCTTAGTGTACCTTAGCCTTTTTTACTAACTTTTAGGATTCAATAATGTATGCAAATGGGTGGAAAGTTATCTAATAGGTGTTTGAGTTGTTTCATGATTGAAATGTTTTTGTACGACTTCCTAAAGAACAAGAAAGGGCCCTTGAGAAGGACCCCTGCAGTTTAATGTAGCATAGCCTTGAGAATGTCCCTTCACTTGCACAATTTCTAGAATCATCGATGGAATACAGAGGTGTAGGCTACGGTTGGTGTGTGGATCAACGGAGTGTCGATTGCACCGAAAACCCAAACTTAGAAAAACTGGAGGAAACTCTAGCCTGTAAATTCTCTAACCGAGATGACGGAGTGCAAGACGGAGGGGGGTTGTTCGTTGACTGTTTGACGGACCGTCGTTGGTTAGTTTTGAGTTTCACTGTTAAATTTTAAATGATTTCATTTTATAATTTAAGTGGTTTAGGGGTTAGTTAGGGATTAAGTAGGGACTAATTAAGTTAATTAAGCCCCACTATAAATACCCTCAACCCTCATTAACCTAAAGACAACTCTAAAATTAAACTCTCTTCCTTCTCTATTATTTGCCTCTCTACATGAACTCACCATTGAAGGCTAGCAAGAACTACGATTTGGGGCTGGAATAAAAGGTGGGTTCTTCATCAAATTGTTGAGAAACATTAATGTATGGGTTCTATTCACCTTTGAGATTCTTTTCTCAAAGTATTCCTTCAAAATATATTTCAAAAAGTTGAGTTTTGTTATGGGTTTCATTCAATTACTAAATTGAAGTCATGGATTGAGTTTTTAATGAATTCTTAGGGTTATATTAAGTAGAATAACATGTGATACCACTTGTTTATGGTAACTTTTGATGGTTTAGTCTAAATAAAAGAATATTATGCTTTATCCCTAAACCTAGGTAGTGAGTGATCTTAACCTGTATTGTATTGTGATCCTTCAATTGAGTTGGTTGTTTATCTGATTGCTATCCTATGGTTCTATTATGATTAAATAAAGATAAATTTATAGGCATATCATGCTAGTTCTTAACATATGATTTAGGTTATGAATTATAATGTGAAATTAGCCTATGTACCTTGTCTCAAGTTGTGATCTATAGATCAATTGTGTTATAGAGATACAAATGGCATTGTTATTCTATTGGTTATCATTGTGTAACGATGTTACTCCCCAAGTTGGGTTGAATTATGGGTTGATGGTTATATATTGATGATAGACTATGAGAAATACTTGGTAAGTCTTAGAATCTCTATTATTACTTCTAATTGTGATTAATTGTTGTTAAGTCATAATATTACATTAGAGAATGCCTTTTACTAGGATTATATAGTGGTATGGTGTTGAATTGAAATGTCTTAACTTTTTTTTGAGGTTGATTAAGGTGTATGGGATATGA